TTATGTCTGGGTCAAGATGTGAGTTTTCTGAAGAAAAAGGTGTATCACGGAAGCTTCTTTCTCAGTACTACAGTCTGCGGAAGGTGCTGAACCGAGTAGGAGATGATTCCTTTGGTCCTTCTTACATGATCGACATGCCTACTCATCTGCGCACGTACCCAGTCTTTCATGCGTCAAAGTTGTTTCCGTGTGAACCACCTGAAACTTTTTCGTACCGAGAATCAATGATTCCTCTCGCAATCAATGGCGGTCATGGGGTTGATAGAATTGTCGAGCACAGTGGAAAGGGGTGAAACAGACAGTACGAAGTCCACTTTCTGTACCACCCATTGAATGACTTTTACTAAATCGCTAAGAAAGATTTGCTGCAGAGTGCCCCGCGAGTCGTCAACGCATATGATCGACTGATTAATTCCGAACAGCAGCCTAAATTCACTACTACCCTCACTCCTACAGAACATACCTGATCTCTCTTTGCTATTTACGCTTATAATGCATTATGCAAGGACTCTGATTGAGTTACTCGCTCGAAGGGACCTCGCTTTTGAGGGGGGGGTAGTGTAATGACCCGCCATAACAGAGATTGAGAACACTGCTGATTTCTGAAGTTCTGGCGATGGAATGGATGCCTTGCTCGGCATGAGTGTGTGTGTAACCCGCAAGGGTACTTGCTTGTTTGGTAGGCCCGTAAGGCCGGTACTTACCTGTGGCCGTGACATTGAGGGTTGCAGCAGGGAAAACACTCAAGTAGCAGAGCCGGGGGCCCGCGGTGCTTAGAGCAGCGGGAAAACACTCAAGTAGCAGGTAGGCTGGTACTGCACGCAGTAGCAGGAGATCTGCCGGGTACTCAAGGCCGAGCAGAAGAAGACAAAGTTGGCATTTTTAGAGGCCCATTAGCGGTAGGCTAGGCCTAGGCCGGTACCAGTCCATCCAGTCTGAGTCTAGAGCCTGTACGGGCAATATCAGAGTCTGCAATGATGTTTCCCTCCGAAAGGGAGGAGGTACCGGTTGC